ACATTGGTTTGTCCTTTCCCCCTTGCCACAAGGAGCTTAGGTTCATTGAATCACACCCATCACAGTGCTCCTGAGTCACTCCCATTCCTTTGTTTATCTGTTACCACTTCTCTATGCTCTCTTCCCCAACCAGTTAATCAGCTTTCCCCCCTAATCAGACTCTGTTAATTTGTAAGGTTAGATCCTTCTAGGACACTGAACTTGTATCATAAGTTAATATTGCCTTTCTCCTCTCCTTATGTCTTTTGAATAGTTTACTTTAAAGCAATGTCCTTTTGTATAGATACAGGAAGACAGTTAATATTATGCTTTTGTAACTTGGGATTTAATTGGCTTTGAATATTATTCACTCCTGGGCATCTGCTTTCTTGACTTAAGCCTCAGTTCCCCTTGGTTTCTAGCACCCCAGAAGCAGTGCCCCAACGAGGGACTGAATGGAAGGGCAAGCTGTGAGCTACCCTGGCATCAAAATGGGTCAGGCCAAAGTGCCATGATTCTTAACTATAAGTTAAGAGCTTGATCATGGACAAATGCTGTCATGATCCAAAAGTAACGACGAGACTACGACCCTGCTAGGGATAGGAAAGACTGATTTGGCCTGAGCACTGTAGTTTGCGATTGAGATGACCCCAGGAGAGCAATTCTATAAGCTTAATGTATCTCTTAATGTGTCCATACAAAATGATTAATATTAAGAATGCTTATATGTTTGTTGAACAAGGAGAGGAGAAACACACCCATGGGATTCCACTCTTGGGCAGGTCCTGCTGAGAGGGTATCTCTCCTAGAAGAAGTATCCCCTGAGGGAAAGAATTTTACCCCTATTGATTGTGACCACACCTATGTGTAAGCCCCAACCCCTCATGTAGGGGGGATTTAACTAGGCAGTAAGAGTGGGCTGAGGGATCCAGATCCAGATTCCAGAGCCAGAAGGAGAATGAAGGGGGATCAAAGAGGTGAATGAAGTAGCATGGGGGAGGAAGAAGAAGGGGGAGAAGCAGAGGGAGAGAGACAGGAGTGAATGGAGATGAGATTGGAATAAACTGCAACTAAGACCAACCAGCCTGGCCCTCGTTTCCTTCTTTTGCCTGCCCATCGCCATCGACCTCCCCGGGGTGGGGGAAAGGCATGAGACTACTGAACGTGGGTGCTGTCCTTTTGTGTTTATACAGTAGCCCTGCTTAGTTCTTGGCTCTGCTAAGGCCTGTTCTCACCCTTTCCCCAGCTGATCAGGCCTTATTCCCTTCTCCATCTCACTTCCTCCCAGCCTGCCCAGACCAATCTCCTTGCCATTCTTCCAACACCTGTTTGCACATCTACTGAAGCATTTGCCCTTGCTGTTTTCTCTCCTCCCCTGTCAGGAGTTCTCTTCTTGTAGAAACTATCTCAGTCAAACATGAGTATTCATTCATATTTTTCATTGTAGCATAGCATAGCATAGTAGCACTGTCCTCCTGTTGTTCATCAATTTGCTCGAGCAGGCACCAGTAATGTCTCCATTGTGAGACTTGTTATTGTTTTTGACATATTGAATACGTCATGGGTAGCTTGCCAGGCTCTGCTGTGCGGGCTGAATACTCTTGGTAGCTTGCCAGGCTCTCTGGGAGGGACAGAAGAATTGAACCCAGGTTGGCCACACTTAATCACTTAATCACTTAACTTCCCGTTAGTCGTCGATTTGCTCGAGCGGGCGCCAGTAACGTCTCCATTTGTCCCTGTCGCGTGCTAGTGTAGCCCAATGGCATCTGTTCGCTCCAGGAACATGAAGGGCCTCAAACCGATCGTTCATGATCTTGACGAAGAAGTCTGACCATCTGGTAGGTGGGCGGCCACGTGGTCTCTTGACATCCCGTGGAATCCAATCAGTAACAGCTCTAGTCCAACGGTCGTCTTTAAATCTCATTACGTGACCAGCCCATCTGATTTTCGACACCTTGGCAAATGAGACAGCGTCCCTGATCCTTGATCGTCGACGGATGTCAGAACTCCGGATTCGTTCTCTCATTTGAGTGAAACGTGATATTCCAAGCATAGCTCTTTCTATTCTTCTTTGGGAGACCGGAATAGCGTTCTCATCTTGTTTGCGTAGGGCCCAGGTCTCTGAGGCATATGTTAATGCAGGAAGAACAGTGGAATCAAAGAGATGTGCCCGGAGCCGGAGGTTCTTCGTCCTCTTAGCTATTTCTTCGACGTTCTTGAAGGCATTCCAAGCCGCTCTCTTCCTCCTGCGCAGCTCGGGTGCCAGGTCATTTGTCATGTTGACCTCTCGACCTAGGTACACATAGCTGTTGCATTCGGAGATGGTCGTTCCATTTAGAGCGAATGGGGCATCAGGAACAAGGCTGTTTCTCATAAACATTGTCTTCGTAAGATTCAGCTGTAGTCCTACCTTTCCACACTCACGGTCAAAGTCGGCCAGCATTTGTGCCGCTTGGCTGATGTTTGGTGTTATTAAAACAATGTCATCAGCAAAGCGGAGGTGGTGTAGTTGCCGATCATCTATCTTCACTCCCATTCCTTCCCATTCCAGTCGTCGCATGATGTTCTCGAGGGTGGCACTGAAGAGTTTCGGTGAAATGGTATCACCCTGCCGCACCCCTCTCTTGACATCAACGATCACTTCTTTGTAGAATGGTGAGATCCTGGTAGTGAATCCGCAATACAGCTCACGGAGGATCCTGATGTATTGGGCTTGAATGCCCTGATTGGCTAGGGCTTCAATGACCGCTTCCGTCTCAACAGAATCAAAGGCCTTCTTTAAATCAATGAACGTTAAACAGAGCGGCATCTTGAACTCCCGAGAAACCTCAATGAGCTTGGTTATCGTGTGGATATGGTCGATGGTGCTGAATCCTTTGCGGAACCCTGCTTGCTCGCATGGTTGTCCTTCATCTAGTGTTCTGCCAATCCTATTCAGGATGACTCTAGTGAACAACTTGTAGATGACAGACAATAGGCAGATCGGGCGATAGTTGCCAATGTCATGGATGTCTCCCTTCTTGAACAGTTCAAAAAGGTTGGTCACGTGCAAGGCAAATGCCCTACCCACTGTGATATCCCTCCAGCTTCATATTTTTCAAATTGAAAAAAAAGCTTTCCTTGATCTCCCTAGCAGCACCTGACATTTTCCATCTTCTTGCCAGTTTAATATTTTAATTTTTATTTATTTTTTTGGTTCTGGGACCACACCTGACTGCGCTCAGGGATTACTCTTGGCAGGGCTCCAGGGACCAAATGGAATATCGGAGATTGAACCTGCATCTGTCGCATGCAAGGCAAGCGCCCTTGCATGTCACTGTCACTCCAGGTCTTCTCATGGTTTTAATCAGGGGCTAGTGTGTCTGATGGCTTATCAGCCTCATAGTTCTTTGTTGAGTCTCCTTGAATAGCTAATCAGCTCCATGAAGACAGATCTCTGTCAGCCTGAGGGTTCTATCCCTCGCACCCAAACTAAGTGCTTGAAACGTATTTGTTAAATATTGGGAATAATGACAAGTATGAGGCTTTACAAAATTAACAGACACCTACAAATAGAGATATTTTACTTTAATATTTTGGGGAAGGCACAGTCACTAGTGCTCAGGTGTTATTCCTGGCTCACTGCTTGGGGGACCATGTGGAGTTGGTGCTGGGTACTAAGTCCAGGCATCCTGCATACAAAGCATCTGCTCCAGTCCAGGGAACTAGCTCTCTGACTCAGAGGTAGCATTGTAGCACTGTCCTCCCGTTGTTCATTGATTTGCTTGAGCGGGCAGCTCCCCGTGGCGTATTTGATATACCAAAAACAGTAACAACAAGTCTCACAATGGAGACGTTACTGGTGCCCACTGACTCAGAGGTAATATTTTTAAATTAAAAAAAAAAGAAAAAGAAAACACAACTCTACATGACAGATAAAAAAAAACATGTGTTAAAAAAGTCGGTCTAGAAGCAGAGAAGAAGAGCCTGAATTTGTGGGTGGCTTTAATCTCCCCCTCTTCTCTCTCCATCTGGGGAGACCCCTGTGTAGGAAGTTCTGGGATGTACCACCAGGGAACCGTCTTTCAGCGGCTGTAGGGTGTGCCCACGGGATGGGACAGTGGGGGCCTCAGAGCTTTCCCTGAGAATTTAAACTGTGAAACTTGAGAACATGAGGAATATCAGTTCCTTCCACCTGTTCCATTCAAAGCAGTAAAAATGAAAAGTTGTAGATTTAACTCTATGCTGCTGGGAGTAATATTGATATTTATTTCTCATGTGTAGCTTTTTTGACTACCAGGAGCAATTTTCAGTTGCTTTTCTGAATCATCAACACCCTATTTTCCTGATCTTCTTAGCGGAGTATTAAGAAGGTGATGCCATTACTTCCAGATTCTCTGATCACTCCTGGGTAAGGGGATCATCCTGGGAGTGGATTTATTTCTCACTCAACACTGTTGTTAGTTCTATTTGTTGATGTGGACACATAATAGAAAGCCAATTGTAGATAATATTCTCTTATTCAGTGTTCTGAAAGAGATAGGGAAAATCCTATTAAGTTCCGCTCATTTTCAGTATGACCTTCAGAAAGCAGGGCTTAAAAAAATTCAATATCACCCTTGTAGATATAAATATGACTTTACTAAAAATGTATGTTATCTATACTTTAACTCCACACCAGCACAAGATACAACACATATCAGTTGTCATTGTGGCTACCTAGTTTTACAAAACTCAAAATGTCCAACTTTGGCAGTAAAATTTGCTTAAATAGATCAAGTCTGTTTTGTAGGCTTTTGATTATTTTATTTAACTAATTAAAAATGAATTGATTTTTATTTTGTTTTTTTTTAACTTCTAATTTAATTTTTCTTAAATATTTTTTCTTTCATTTTTCCTAAGGTACGACTTACAAGACTGTCAGTGATAGTTTCATGCACACCTTGTTCTGACATGTTTGGGTTATTTTAGAAGTTCATTTGTTTGTGCATACTCTATTTCTTCCTTGCATCCCTTTGACTTTTTTGTTGTTGTCTGTTTAGAAGGAGAAGATGAGGATGAAGAGGATGAGGAGGAGGAGGATGAAGATGAGGAAGATGAGGAGGACGATGAGGAAGATAAAGATGCAGACTCACTGGATGAGGGCCTGGACAGTGATGGGGAGTTTCCTGGATTTACACTACCCGGTCTTACCTCTCAGGAACCAAGCCTCGAGCAGAGACATGCCAACCCAGTGGAGGGAGTCACTTACCAGATGCCGGACAGCCTCCAGTGGGAGCAGCAGAATCAGGGACTGGGTAAGTCCTGCCTGCTCCCCTCTCCTCCTCTTCCTCCTTCTCCATTGCTACAGGGAACATTTCTTTAATTGGCATTGATTATGGAGCAAAGTGGATTTTCTCTTTTGGGAATGAGTCAGAAAATATTATTAATTTGTTTCTTCATTATGTTTGCTTTTGGGTCATGCCTCACAATGCTTCTGGAGTACATTTGGCTGTGTGCTCAGAGGTCATTTCTGGTAGTGCAGAAGGAGCCATGTAGCACCAGGGATTGAATTTGGGCTTCCTGTAGGTCAAATGTACATTCCTAGCCTTTTGAACTGTCTCCCTTGCTCCATGTTCATATTCTGAAGCAGTAGGCTCCAGAAAGTTTCCAAGTGCTCTTTAGGAATATGCCACCTGTTTTGTGGAAAGAATGCCACCTTTCCTTCCCAGCTGGACAGGGGTTGTAGGGTCTGGAAGGTGAACATGTGTTTATGGCACTAGGGATCGAACACAGATCTTCCTGTATGCAAAGTAGATATGCCACTCCTGAGCTGATAAGAGCAAGGCTCATTTCTTATACATTTCCTTGCAGAGTAGGTGAGCACTTAATAATTGTAAGACTAGAAGGGAAGAACAGAAATATCTAAGGGGGCCATTTGGATGAGCTTGATGTGTGTCAAGTTGAAGGCTTTGTGAAGATTACATGGCTTGTAGGTGAAGGACACGACACCAGAGGAAGAAGTCATACAGAGACTTCAGACAGGTGAAGAAATGAGCCAGGTAAATGGCTTGGCAAAGAAAATAGTAAGGGTCCTAGGGGAGAAGTTAGCAGATGAGCTGCCAGAGGTAAACACATCATGAAGAGATGCAAATATTTAAAGATTTTTTTGTGTATGTATTTTGTTTTGTTTTCAGTTTAGTTTTGGGGTCACACCTAGAGTTGCTTAGGGACAATTCCTGGCTAAGTACTTGGGCGTCAATCCTGCATGTGGTTCAGGGGATTGAACCTTGAGAAGGTTTTAATATGTCCTTTGTGAAAACTGTTCTGGTGATAGTGTAGTGAAAAAATGAAGGAAAGAATTTGAGATTGGAGAGAGAAAAAGACCCTCTATGAGACCTCTATGAGACTTCGACTATGAAGTTGCCTCTGTGAGAAATGGAAGCCTAATAGGGGCTGGAGCAATAGCACAGAGGGTAGGGCATTGCCTTGCACCTGGCCGACCTTGGTTCGATTCCCAGCATCCCATATAGTCCACTGAGCACCCCACGAGTAATTCCTGAGAGTATGAGCCAGGAGTAACTTCTATGCATCACCAGGTGTGACCCAAAAGGAAAAAAAAGAAAAGAAAAGAAATGGAAGCCTGATATAAGGCAGAGGTCTTAGGCTGGAGAAATCAGACCCAGCGAGAGAGCAGGTCATGATCTTAGAGACTAGTATTGGAGCTGGGGAAAATAGAGAGTGCTGAGGGCATTTCCTTGTTTCTGGATGAAGATGGGAGAGGAAGAGGGCAAGTTTGGTGTATTGGGAAGATGATGGGTTAGTCCTAAGCATGTTGAATTTGAGGAGGCAGAGGGATGCTCAGGAATGATTAAAGAAAGAAGTCTGGGATAAGTGATAATTCTGAGATGATAAAATTATAACATAAACGTTGCCATGGAAACGTCTCTGGGATTTCCTGTGGATGACCTTCTGCTGGGTGAACAGAGAATAGCAGTAATGTGAATGTAGCATTTGATGAATTATTTTCTCAACAAATTCAGCATGAAATCAGGCGGTAATTACTTTGAAAGCATATCATTGGAACTGTTCAAAGATTCTGAAGCTATCAAAATTTCATATATGAATAGAAAACAGAATAATATAAACACTACTTACGAACCCATGAATATATATTAAGTCTGAAACAACTATCATTCTACATGAATAGCAAGATAAAAGCACAAAGCAGGAGGACAGGTTTTTGATTTGGGGGCCACACTTGACAATTTACAGGGCTTACTCCTGGCTCTGCTCTCGGGGATCTCTTCAGGGTGGGGCTCAGGAGGCCATACTGGGGATCAAATCTGAGTTGACTACGTACAAGACAAGCACCCTACTTGCTGTACTATATATCTCCAACTACACAAAGATAGTTTTTTTTCTTTTTAGAAAGCAAGTTAAAAATAAAAATTAGCTTCAGCAGCTCTAGTTAACCCTGGGGGCAATTTTAAAATACGAAAGTATTATGTCAGCTAACTAATCCTTTTAGTATAGGTTGGATGCATATTCAGGGACTCTGGCATTTTATGAGAGGGAAGAGACAGAAGGGGTTGCCTCTGTACTGGGAATGGAGGTCATATGACATCCAGTACTGGTTGTGGCCAAGGAAGTGAATTTTTCTTCCTGATGAAATTGGCTTGCCATTTGGAACAATTACAAGCAATTGGAGTGGCCTTAGATATTAGAAAAATGTGGAGAGGCTACAGCTTAAGGCTAGTTACCATATGGTAGTAGCTTTGGTAGAGCTGGAGCAATAACACAGCGGGTAGGGCGTTTGCCTTTCATGCAGCTGACCTGGGTTTGATTCCTCTGTCCCTCTCAGAGAGCCCGGCAAGCTGCTGAGAGTATCCCACCTGCACAGCAGAGCCTGGCAAGCTACCTGTGATGTATTCAATATGCCAAATACAGTAACAACAAGTCTCACAATGGAGACCTTACTGGTGCCTGCTTGAGCAAATGGATGAACAATGGGAGGACGGTGCTACAGCTTCTTTACCATACTACATTTTCTACTGAATGGGAGTCATATTTTTAGCCAATCACTTTATTAAACTCGAAGGACTATACAATACCCTGCCTTCGCTTGAAGTAGATAATTCAGTGGCTTTTGACGGTTATGTACACCCATGCAGCTCTCTCACAATCAAATGATAGAATATTTTCAGGATCCAGAGTGATAGTACAGCGGACAGGGCACTTGCCTTGTATACAGCTGACCTGGGTTGAGTCCACAGTACTCCCTGTGGTCCCTCAAGAGCCTTGTGAGGAATGACCCCTGAGAACAGAGCCAGGAGTAAGACCTGAGCTTTGCTGGGTATGACCTTCCAATAAAACAAACCCAAACCCAAACCCAAACCCAAACCAAACAAAACACCATAGACTATTTCCACCCCTCCCTCTCCATACAACATCAATGCTTTACATGCTCTTTGTGGTCTCTTGCCCTTGGGCCTCACCTCTAGGCAACCTCAGCTACATTTTCTACAAGTTTCTATCATAGAATTATGATGTGTATGCTTTCCTGTCCCTCACTTCTTTCACTAGCATAATTTGAGACCCAATCATGGTATCCGAGGCAGGATTTCTTCCCTTTATTTAAAGTTGGAGAGGATTCCATTGTATAGCTATTCCACATTTTTCTATCTCTAGTTGAACACTTGGGTTATTTCAGTAATAGTCAGGGTTTTAGGACGTATTTGTTGTTCCTGTTATCATTATATCCTGTCTCCTGGTTCTAGTAAAAGAATTCTCTCCACCTCTCACTTCCCTTCCCTTTGCTTTTGTTTTAACTGGTGGCCGCATGTTTAGTTGCTGTGTTTGTACAGAATTGATTGTGGTGTCAATCAGACACTTTGTTTGGACCTCTGATGTTATGGTTGGCTCCTGGGATATTGCCAGGGATTGAACTTGCAAGCTGTGCTGGCAAGGCAGGCGCTCTATGCAGAGGTGGCTTTGGCCCCTGTAGTTATTTTTGCCGGGAGTAGTCTGATTTAACTTCACTTTAATTGGCCACCTTCTTCATTCCCATTTTTGTGTGAGTTACTTTATTTATAGATAATTAAATTCTATTTACAGTTTGAATAGTATTCTACAGCAAATGTTAAAACCCATATAAACCTTAAAAGTGAACAGATTGAAGTGGGTAGTTGGGATTGGCTAAAAATAATACAAGCTCTGAATAGATTATAGTCTCATTTCCTGTGAAGTAACAAGAACAGAAAACTTAAATGACTTTCTCAGGCAAAGCTGTGGATTCATGACCTCAAAAATATTTTAACTTCTGTTTTCTGCATTGTCACATATATTCTGCTTTTAAAGTTTGGAGAGACAGAGCTCAGTTTTTGATCTCATAGCAGAGATGTGTGATTAGGGTATGAATTATGTGTAGGGATGGAATCAGAAATTAAAATTCCATTTTTTAATTTGCTTTTTGGGTCACACCTGGCGATGCACAGGGGTTACTCCTGACTCTGCACTCATTACTCCTGGCAGTGCTCAGGGACCCTATGGGATGCTGGGAATCGAACCCGGGTTGTTCACATGCAAGGCAAACACCCTACCCACTGTGCTATCTCTCCAGCCCCTAAAATTCCATTTTAAAGTTGAAGAGATTATAAAATGTTAAACAGCATATATAGGGAGTCATTTACTTCAATATGTAGAATTGATTTCTTCTCTGATCTAACAACTTCATTATTAAATTTACTGGCATGAGCCTGTATAAACAATGACATTATGACCCACATCCTTCTTATTTTGTTATGATAATTTGTGCAATTACCTTTTAAATTTTTATTTATTATTATTTGGGGATTGTAGGGGTCTTCCCCAAGGCCCAAGAACTAGTCTTGACAATTCTCTATGAACTGGGCTGCAGTTAAACATGAGGGCCCAAGGATGCATTGTTGCTCAGGCCTTGTGTGCCAGGAACCATCAGAGTCACTGCATTGGGGCTTGGGAATCTCCAGTGTTGCACCTAGCTGTGCTCAAGAGACCATGTGGTACCAGGGACAGAACCTGAATCTGGTGCATGGGTAGGCATGCATTCTGCTGATGTACTATCTCTGACATTGAAATTAATTTCATTTAAGTATAAAATTAATATCATCAAAGACTGGGTTCCATCCTTGGTATCACAACAAAAAACAAGTAGCACTAAATTTGAGTCAATATAGCCATTTTATTTTATTTTGGAGGGCAGGGGTTACTCCTCTCTCTGCACTAAGAGATCACTTCTGGTGGGCTCAGGGGACCATATGTTGTCCTGGGAATTGAA